GATTTGCTTGAGAAGCATCCATGGATGCAAGCCAGCATTTTGCTCGCTTTACTAGGCACAGCATTGCATTGAAGGCTCATTTTGTGGTCAGTGATGTTCATCTTGTGGTCAATAATGACCCCCAAGTCTCTTTCTTCGATAGTGCTAGCCAGCATAGCACTGCCGAGCCTATAAGGATGCTGCAGGTTTTTTCTCCCAAGGTGGAGAACCTTGCATTTTTCAGTGTTAAACACCATCAGGTTCTCGTCTGCCCATTTGTTGAGCCTGTCCAAGTCATCCTGGATCACCCTCCTGTCTTCTGGATGAGAAGGTTAGATGAGAACTTGTATGGGATGGTTTGGAGAGGAATGATCCTATCTGAAATGGGGGTTGAACTAGATGACTAGGTGTCCATTCCAGCCCTGCTTTTCTATGATTCTAAGTCTTATAAAATATGCACAAATGTTTTGCCATGGTTTGATTAACCCAGAATTTCTTACAAAATGTATACTCATGTACCAAAACTGTTTTCAGCCTGAAACAGCACCAATGTTATTCAGTTTTGATATGTGCTGAATTATGCTCTGCCAGGTACAGTTGGGCACTGCTCTAGGAGGATCATACCTTGGGGTTCACCTCAGAAGAAAAGATTTCATCTGGGGTCACAGAGAAGATGTGCCAACCCTACATGGAGCAGTGAAGAAGATCCACAGTCTTATGGAGATATATAAACTTAAGAAAGTTTTTGTAGCCACTGATGCTATTGAGGAGGGTAGGTAGATGAAATTTATTTTGTTCACTGGGCTCAGTTGACAGGAGAGAGTGACCAGTTATCAGTTAACATTCATCAGTGACTCAGTAATAGTCTTCCTGGGAGACTAACTGACTTGGGAAATAGAATGAGATTTTGTAGTCTTTCACTTCTAAACTGACAGCTGAAATCCAGCACAAATGCTTAATGACTGGAAACTAGTCATGGGCAGTCTCTGCAAAATGAGTTTGGTTTCTTGGTCTGTCTCTCAAGGAGCAGAGGTCTACTTAGCAAACGTTTGCTGTAACTGACCCTATTTGGTTTCTCAAAGCAGCCAGGCAGTACATGGCAAAGAAAGTGGATCATCCTTAACTGCTGTGTTAGCCTCTCCTAATCAGGGCTGAGACCTACTGGTAAGGGAGGTTCTGGCCATGGAGTGCCTGTTCTGAAAATAAACAGAATGGGCTGGATCCCGTTCTACCTTTTAAGTGCCTAAATCTGATCCTATTCCACCGTCATTTAGCTCTTGAAAAATCTTTAACTCAAAAGATGAACAGAACCTCTTCCTCCTCACTGCTTTTTGACTTAGTCTTAAGACTACATACATGATGGTGCATTAGAAAAAATAGATATATTAGTATTTCCCAGGGGCATGAGTAGGGTGGAATAGAAAGACACTTAGGTGACTAGGTTCACTTGTACACCTCATAGATGGAATAGGCTCTAATCCAACAAGTTTTTTCCAAAGCATTCAGCACCTCTCATGAACAAAATGTACAGGAAACATCTCAAAACTATTTTAAAAAGCCTCCCCAGTGAAGGGTTGGTTTTCTATGCCAAGTCCCCCTCCTCTTTCCCTTTCTTGCTGCTGTTTTTTTCTTGATTCTAAGCATGATTTGAGAACAGCATTAGGAGTGGAGGGGGTCTCTTGACATCTAACCAGTGGTCCAATCATTCTGTGTCTGAAAGCTGGTCCCCTAGGCAGTGTTGCCAACATATATTTTGTCACCAAATCTAGTGAATTTTTGGGTCAGGATACCTAGCAACAGAATGTGTGTGTTAAGGATCCTGTATCAGTTGGTAATAGATGGTGACATTTTTACTACTGTCTACCTGATGACACCTAATGACTTTGTGAGACTGGCCTAGCAGACTTCTGCTTTCAGCTGTTGGCAGTGCTGCCTCCAGGTCTGTGGCTCTTGACATTACCTCTGTGTTAGATCCCAACTCCATGCGGCACCCAACAACTAGGGAGACGACAATCCAGTTGCTCAGAATGCAAACACCAGCACACATTGCTAGCCAACAGCTTTATTCAGAATGGAGCAGCTTTGGGCAAAGCTCCAACAAACCAGGGAGCTGCAGTGAACATTAGTTCTTTCCACATTTATACACCTTAGTTCATGCTCATTAACTCCACCTTTGTCCCTTCTTTGTTCCACCCATATTCCCTCCTATCTCAAGCTGTGCATCTGTTTACTGTTTGTTTCATTAGCATGGCATTACCTATGCATTTCACTTGTCTTTTTGCTGTGAGCGCATGCGTAAAACCCTGACCCTGGCTTCTTTCCGTCAATTGCGGTTTCTTGCTGATCTCTTCACCATCTCCAAGGTCTTGCTTCTGCTCATCTCCTAACAATAGCTGGTGGGCTGCATCCTGTTCCCCTTACACAGTGAGCTATATAGCTTACAACACTATGACATTGTTAGGAAAATGCTTGCCTAAACGTCTTGCAGTATTACTTTTAATATATCATTCTGCCTTGTGGTTAGCAGCTTTGCTGAGCCACAGGCTATAGCCTTGTATTCAGCTGCAAATTCAGTGTTCCCCAAGATCCAAATACTGTCACCTAACACTCCATAAGGTAAGAAAATAAGATGAGTGGTGCTGTCTGTTTTCCTGGCCTGTAAATTTCATTCCCCCTCATTCCACTAGAATTGGTTTCTTCAGCATTTAAGAAATCCAATGTAAATTTTAACTTTTCCTGATTTGTGCAGAAGTTCCATGAAATTTTTGTGTAGGACAATAGTGAGTTAGTCTTGTTTCCTTCTTTCAGAGTCTGAAGAACTCAAGAAGCTACTGCCTGAGATGGTGAGGTTTGAACCCACTTGGGAAGAGTTAGAGCTCTACAAAGATGGAGGAGTAGCAATTATTGACCAGTGGATCTGTGCTCATGCTAGGTAGCTAATTTGACTTTTTACATGTGGAATCAGATTTTACAATTGAGCAAACCTAAATATTGCTGTTGAGATGTAATTGTGTGCTCCTGAGTAGCAAAATTTTATAAAAGGAAAACGGATACAAATAAGGCAATTATTTATACCAGAAACAAAAACTTCTTCAAAAATCAGTTCTGATTTTTCCCTTCACAGGTATTTTGTAGGCACTTCAGTTTCAACATTTTCATTCCGGATTCATGAGGAAAGGGAGATTCTGGGATTTGACCCCAAAACAACTTATAACAGGTTTTGTGGTGAGAAAGAGAAGAACTGTGAACAACCAACCCACTGGAAAATTGTATATTAACAGACAAATCCAAAGGACTATAAGTGGTCAGTACACCAAACCAAGGAAACGTTTATGGGAAATCCTTTTGAGGAAATTAATCTTTTTTTTCTCCTTCCTACTGTGTAATTGGAAGTTGGGTTTTAAGCACAAGTGGATAGCAATATCATATTCATTTTCTTAACCAGACATTGATGTCACTGGCCAAAATGCTGCAGCCCAAGATTCAGTTCTTGGTACAGCTGAATAGAAGGTCAGTACAATCACTTCTTAAGTCTAAATTTAACTTTTATGAGAGAGAGCATTATTTGTGATGCAGACAAAATGTTTCCATTCAAAATTTTATTCTGAACAATGACTTAACAAAAAGACCCATAATTATAGTATGTCTACAATCTGGACCGTATGCCTTTCTTCAAGATACTTGTGCTCAGCTGGTTATCAGCTTTGTATTTGATGCCTTGTATCCTCTGTTTACAAGAAGGATGGTTAAGCTTTGTAACCTGCACTTTGGGAGAGGTGCAGACTATGCACAGAATCTGCAGTTCCATGAAACAAGAAAGATTTCCCCAAATGGTGACTTGGAACATTTCAAACATTAAAGTGAAGGCTTAGGTGGTATTTTTACACAAACACAGACCACTTTCACAGCTGGCGATTCTTCTAATAGCAGTCTCAGCAAAGAGGTCAGTGAGTAAGGTAGAAGAATAGCAAGACTGAACTACTTGAGCAAGCCCAAAGCTGGGTTATATTAAGTAGAGTCGTGAATGGAGATTTGCACTGCCTGTCATAGTTTTTCTCTGAATAGGATACTTTGCTTGATGGAGTTTCCATTTACTACCTTTCTTCCACATTAAATTCACTCAGAATGAGGCAACCATAAATAGCATTTGGGGATATCTTGCCACCCAGTTAAATAAACCTACCTATGGCAGGTTAAGACTCTTGGAACATTTTCAAAGGCCTTTCAAGAGTTTTCAGTTTCATAGAGATGAAGTATCCCAGTTTCTCAATTAGTTTATCCAAATCATTAATTTTCTGTCTTTGCCATGTTATGGTTACTGGCTGGCTCATTGTGCTGTGCTTCTGCTTACCATGTCAGTGTGAATATCAGCTGCTGTGCCATGGCAAGATATGCAGCACCTCATCGGAGTCCTGGAGTAACTCACAAATCTGTCACCCGCAATACAGCCAGTGTAGTAACCTACCCTTAAACAAATGCCAGTTAAACTTTGTATACTCCTTTACCTCACTACCATTGTTTAGCATCTTCCCAAAATGACTGCATACTTATGACTGTTTACTGATATAGGGCCACACTATATAAAAGGCATTCCCCTGTGGTTCAGTGGTAGAATCCTTGTCTACACACAGGAGACCTTATACAATTACAGCCATGGAGGCACCAAGCATCTGGACTCAGTCTGGTCTTTGGATTCTGTCTCAGTCGCCTAAAGGGATGATGGAAGGTCTGGGCAGCTTCCACTCCTCCAAAAATTCCTGCCCAGGCATATGCATCGAAGGTCTAGGTGGCCCTCATGCATACACTGTGATCCAGGAGGATCAATGGTTGCCATATAAAAAGAAAAACAATTTGTGGAAAACAAATGCTTTTCTAGGAGATTGGGTTGTCTTGAGTGACAGTCATAGCCAACCTTATAAGTCAGTTGTCGTTTGATTCCTGGGTGTCCCTTTAGATTTACATGTGAAATAATCAGCCAAGGAAAGTGGAAAATTCAGAGTGACAAAAGTGTGCTGTTTTGGTTTTGTTAGCCTGAAGTAAGTCCAAGATGGTTGCACTCATTTAGGCTTAAGGGATATTTAACAATATCAAAGAGGGCATAGAGTGAAGTATCCTTGCTTGCTAATATTCTCCTACACTCTCAGCCTAACCCCAGCAGAAGGCTTCTACCTTTTTCCTGGAGGAAGGTACAACAAAATTATGACCAACCATTGTGAAGGTCATTGGACCTCCTCACTTTTTTCCTTCATTTTGATTAACTGTCACAAATGAATCTTTGGCAACTTCAAATAAGTATCAAATCTGCAGTTAACCTTTTCCTGTGGAACTGAAATGTCAACATAGCTGAGGGCTGATCTTTTTGTACATTCCCATATTGCAAGGTAAGCTGGCCCTTGTGTAGCAAAACGTGCGCAGATCTCCAATAAAGTGAATAATTTAAGATACTGTGTTCTTACCAGCTATTTATTTGTATCCCTATTCTGTAAATGTCTTTCCACTGACCAAGGGAAGATTGTGGGAACCCAGCATTCCAAAGCAGTGCCTTTTCCCACAAAGTCAGACACTGTTGTTGCTTAGCGTATGTGGAGTGTAAAGTGATGTTGGCATTTTAAATTTAACTGTAAACCTCAGTTTCTTTTGAAAATAAAATGCTTTTTAGTATTTTATGGGGATTTTCCACGTTTACCACTGTTACTCATTCACTTGCTAACTCCTAACCTGTCATAATCTCCCATTTCAGATTCATAGACTCTCATGAAGGACCAAGATTTTGCCTGACCAACAGCATCCTGGCTGCTGTTCTACTTCTTGCCTAATTCCCACAGGTCTTGGTTAATAAATTCCCCAGCTGGTTTTAATGTTAATACAAGTTTTCTTTTCTCACCAAAAAAAAATATTAAAAAGACTAGCACCAAAGGGATGTTGAGGCTTTGGGAGAAGAATTTTCTTGCCTGCTTCATAGAACAAAATTTTTGCATCCAACAAGTAGAAGTCCCTCTTGAACTAAGAACTTGAACTAATTCTTTGCCTTTGTAGCTCCTGAATTAGGTGTATAACCTCAGGAAAGGGACCCAGACTCTCTTACAAGACTTGATAAAGACCTTTTCTCACCGTGTAGCTGTGATCAAATATAAAAACTGTACACACAAATAATTCAGGATAGGAAATGAGACTAATACAGAAGCATGTCATTTTATATGGCATATGGAATACTGTGGGGGCTCTCCCAAAAAGGGTATAGCAGAATTGGAGGGAGATTCAGTGATAAGCAACAGAAATAACTAAAGCATAGAAAAGAGCCTATCAGCTGCTGGCCAGAAGATGAGGCAGGATGGCATCTTAGAGACTGGTTTACTAACATAAGTCTTGCAGTGGCTCTTAGAATCATAGACTCATAGAATCAATGAGTTGGAAGGGACCTAGACAGATCATCTAGTCCGACCCCCTGCCATGGGCAGGAAGGAGCACTGGGGGTGGCAGGGGTCATAAGACCCCAGCCCGATGCCTATCCAGTCTCCTCTTGAAGATCTCCAGGGAAGGTGAGAGCACCACCTTTCTGGGAAGCCTATTCCAGGCTCTGGCCACCCTTACAGTGAAGTAGTTCTTCCTAATGTCTAACCTAAACCTATCCTCCCTCAGCTTGTGGCCATTGTTCCTGGTGACTCCAAGGGGGGCCCTGGTGAACAGACTTTCCCCGAGTCCCTGCTGGTGGCCCCTGATAAGG